GAGCCGCCCGAGCCGCCGCCTCTGCCCGCGCCGCCGCCTCCGCCCAGGCCCGGAGCGCGGCCACGGGCGCCGCCATCATCGCCGCCATCATCACCGTCACCTCCCGGCGCCGCTGCCGCGCGTCATCGGGCCGCGCCGCGCCGCCATTGGGCGGCTGGGGCGGCGGTTGCGTTTGAAGGTGCGAGCCCTCAGAGCCCGCCGCGCACAGAGCCCGCCATGGCCCCCGGCAGGAAAAAGGGCAGCGCCAGCGCCCGCCGCCGCAAAATGGAGGCCTTCCTCCAGGACTTCGACAGAGAAGGTAGGATGGGGGAAGGAGGGGAGCGCGGGGAGGGGAGAGGAGAGGCCCCGGGCCGCGGGCAGGGCTGACGCCGCGTCTCCCGCAGTGCAGCGGCGGCTGAAGCGGATCGAGGCGGACGGGGAGCGCATGGTGCAAGAAGTGGAGCACATGTACGACATGGCCATCCTGCGGCTGCCGCCGGAGATCCGCGAGATGAACTGGCTGGAGTTCTTCGGTGCGGAGCGGAGCCGGGGGTGCTGGGCTGAGGGACCCTTCCCCCGCGGATAAAAATAATAATAAACCCCGGAGGAGTGGGATCTACCCTACCCGTAATCCTCAGGGAACGATCCCACGGGCCTGATGCTTCTGTTCCCTAGGCTGGTTTGTGCTGGGTTTTGCACCCCCGTGGTGACAGCCCTGCTGTGCTGTGTGAGCGTCCCTGACATTTCTGATGTATCTGATCCGTTTTCTTTCTAGCTCTAGCAAGAAGTGAAAAGGCGCCAGAGGATGTGGCTAAGGTAGGTTTCCAGCACAAACATAAAGCTCTCTGGAGCCATCCCACTCTGCTCCTCACACTGAAATGGAGTGCTGGAGCGTTACAAGAGAAACAGTTACATCGATGTTTTCACAAATGTTTCTTTAAAATGCAACAATAAGAGAGGCACCTTGTATCAGAGGTGGGATTTACCTGGTGCTGCTCCTCCCTGTTGATCTTTCCTTATCTGCTAGACAAAACTCCCAAATCCCTGAGAGCACAAGCATTTGCCAGTGAAGGACAGCATTTCTGAGCTGGTTGAGCAGCAGGGTGTAGGAGAGGTACACCTGCAGCTGCCAACCAGGCACTGAGTCCTGAGGGAGGCAGAGATGCTGGAAAGGCCCAGTTTGAGCACAACAGCAAATGTGGAGCTCATCTGGCTGTAAAACTATTGGGGGTTTGCCCTACAACTTTTACATGAACGCTGGGCTGCCAACAATCCCAGTGGTGCCACAAATGTTTTTAATTTTAGGCAGACGTGGAAATAACAAAAATCCGCAGGCTAAGCGCAGAAGTCATCGATCCCCTGTTGGATGTTGCTGAGAAAGGTGAGTTTAAGCTTGTGGCATCATTGGTGAGGTGGAAGCATGTTGTGGTTACTTAAGGTGAATAATAATTCAGTTCTTGCTCACATCCCTCAGTATGTTTAAATCAGGAAAATAAATCTACTTTTATCCCTAGTACCTGCTGTACCTCTAATTAATTTCATTCAAACATTCAAAATAATCAAAAGTAGTGCTCTGGCAACCATTAGGATTGCATTGGAATTTGGATTTCTGAAGCAAATTGTTGCCAAAACTGCTTGTAGCTATTTTTCTTCCCTACTAAATAATAATTTAAAGTTATTATTTACTAAGGTAACACTTTCTCTTTCTAGTGAGTAAGATCAAAAGGAGTGTTGAAGCTGATGAGGAAGCAGAGCCTCCATCACTTCCACTGCAGAAGAGATCTCGACTTGCCAGCCAGTGTCCTTCAGAGGCTGAGAATGGGGATGCAAGGACTGCCAAGGTGAGCAGCTGTTCTCTGGGATGACATTATCCTCAGGACAGGAATTCCTGACTGAGCTGGTGACTTGGGCTCTCCAGGATGCTCTGAGGGAGACTACACACAGTCTAGCAATGGGAGAGGGTCCCAAAGGCTTCAGTGGTGTTTGTTCTGGGCTCTTGTGCCATGGAAAGGGACTGAGCATTTTGTGTGGAAACCTCAGCTGTCCCGGAGAGGGCAGTAACTGATCTGGTGTGTGATGTGTGCTTCAGGTGAAGGCATCCACCAAAAAGCCACCCATGGCCAGAAGACCCCCCTCAGCAACTGTGAAGGGCAGGAGCAAGAGGTAAGGGGGATGTCTCTGTCTCCTCTCTAGAAATGGAGAGTCAGAGTGCAAATATAAATATCTCTTTGGTGGGATGGGCTTTGTTTCAGTGGTGGTGGGGGGGAGTTGTGCCACACTACAGGGCAAAATTGATGTGAATGAAAGATGGGCAGCTGCCTGTCCTGTGACAACAAGCTGTCCCCAGTTTTGGGGTCACTGGTTAGTTATAGTGGTGGTCACCTTCTTCAAGCCTTTGACAAGTGCCTGTGCACTTGTTAAAGGTGATGTTACGTGCAGATGTTTATTTCCCTTTAACAGATCAAGCAAAAACAGTTTCATCACTCCAGCTACTGGCAGAATGGTTGACATGTGTGCTCGGGGAAGCACATCCATGGTTACACCCAGATTTGATCCCAGGTTTGTTAACTGAGACAATAAATACATTACCCTTCTATCTCTGATCCTCTGCTTTACACCTTTACAACACAGCCTTTCGAGGCTCTTTGGACCTGAAATGAGAGACTTGGAGTGGAAGTGCTGTGAGCAAATGCCACTCACTGATATCTGGTCGTTGCAGGGTGTTCAAGACGCCGGGCCTGCGCACGCCTGCCCTCAACGAGCGCGTTTACACCTTCTCTGCCAAGGGCAGCCCCCTGGCCGACCCCGAGGACGTCATCCTCACCCTGCCCCTCGGGGGAGGAGAGGTAACTCCTGACCCTTCACCTGCTCAGGGGTGCACAGGCACCTCTTGGTGCTTTACCTCCTTCAGTTCATCCACTCTTGTCTCTTTAGCTGTGCCACTGCAGTTTATCCGAGGGGTTGATTGAGCTGAAAACAAACCTTGAGACTCTTAGCCAGAAGTGGGGCCTGCTCAAGCTGTTTGAAACAGAACAAGAGGATGTTTCACTGTGCATTCACTTTAAAGCACTTAAATCAGCAGTAGTGTCAATGTAGTGGGTTTGATGCTGGCTGAATGCCAGTGCATCCACAAAGAAAATCATTCACTCACTGGCTTTATCCCCCCTCACCACAAATCAAGCTATTTAAAACCACCACAGCCAGTAATGCATTAATGTGCTGCAGGAAAGGTGTGAGATGAGCTGCTGTTCCAGCTGAATGTAGTTCTCTGCCTGTCTATACTTAGATCTTAATCTCTTTTATTTTACTTAACTTTTTTACTGTCTCCAGCTGCTGCAGCTGGCCAGACAGAAAACCTGAGATTTGGGTTTGTTTCCACAGAGCATACGTTTGACAGAAAAGGATCTGACCAAGAAGAATTTTCTTCAGCTGAACCCCAAGGCCCAAGGGCTCATGCAGAAGCTGTCAGTAAGTCTGGGTGTTTTTGTCAGCCATAGCTGTAAGGCAGTGCTGTCCCTCTGTCACCAGTCAGGGGACTGTTGAGCTGCAATAGAAACTCCTCATTTCCCCCTGACCCCTTGTCTTGAATTTTGGCTGATGTCAGAGGTGAAGAAGCAGCTCAGAGCAGGGAAGGGAGAAGCAGGAGCTTTACATCACATCTGCCTCAATACACAGTGGGGAAAAGAGCTGTTGTCACTGCTCTGAAAAACAAAGTTGTGCTTTAGGCTGGAGCTGCAGGTGGCTGTGGGCTGTACCAGTATCTCTGAATACTGATGGATTTCTCTTTCCTTTCAGGTTTGTCTCACACAGGCTTGCAACGAGGCAAAAATGCCCCAAGAGGGAAGTCAGTGAGCAAGACATCCCTCTGTAGTTCTTGTTTTAATTTGTATATTCATTTTATTCATCTACAGAACGAAAGCTAAAAACTAGTTATTCTACCTGTGATATATAATGGGATCAAAATAAATTGAACTTTGAAGAGAAATAAAATTCAGTTGGAGAGAAAAAACATTCCATACTTTATGTCCTTTAAGGTTGAAACCATGAGTATGTTCTCTTGGGCTTGCAGATTAGCAGGTGGGCAGAAAGCCTGATGATTGGCACGTTAAGAGCCATGTTCAGAGTAAAGAACTCTGCTTCTCTCTCTAACTTTGTCTAGAATTTTCTTTTTCTAGAAAAAAGCCTGTTTCTTTGTAAGCTGTTGCACTGTCCTTTCCAAAGATGCCTCTTTGTCCTTGATTTAAGCCTCTTTATAGGGCTATAGACAAGGATGTTGAGACTTTTCTGTATTTGAAAAGTTCTGCTTTTGGCAAAACCAGGCCTGGAGCATGACTAAAATGGAGACAAGCTGTAATCAGAGCTCTTTGGTGCAGGGTGTGGCACGGGAGAAAGCTTATAGAACAGCATTTATAATGAATTTCCTTTGCAGAGCAAGCATTTTATTGTATGGATGACCTCATGTATATACCATTGATTTGGAAAACTCTTTGAGAGGTTTTAGCAGATTCTAAGTCCTAACTGCAGGTGGCAATAACATATCCCACTCAGCTACACATACACCTGCCTTGCTCTGCTGTGCACATATTAATTAGTTAAAGACATCAATTAGTTGAGCTATTAATAAAAAATGGATGTGCTTATGGATGTGTAAGTTGAGATTCTGCTTTAACTACACCATTACCAGGAAAACAAAATTAACTAGAACTTTTAGCCTACCTAGAGAATTCTTTTAAATTAACACTGTGCTTTAAAAGCTCTAGCTGTAACCTTTACAATCAGAGCTCCTGCTCTGAACCAAAGCTCTTTTGGAAGAGGTTTTTTCCCTTAGTAGAGAGCAGGCTGCAGAGGGAGAGCAGCCAGCAGCACAGGGAACAAGCATGTGGCTGTTTCCCCAGGACTGGGTAGCTGCAGCCTGGCAGGGAAAAAGCATTGCTGCTGTGTCAGAGCTCAGCCCTGCTTCAGGCAGGGCTTCCTGTGGCCTGGGGAGCTCGGCGTGTGCTGAGCTGTGCTGTGAGAACTCCACGTTTCTGCCCAAATTGTTAATGGAGATGTGAAGCTATTGATCTGGAGAAATAATGAGCCAGTGAAGCTCCTGAGCTGGCTCTGAGCTCCTGACCAGCAGCTCCCAGCAGAGATGCACTGCTGGGTTTGTCATCCTCAACATCTTCCAGGTGTGGCCATGGATTCAATGGCAGAGTAAGACATAAATAGATAACAATTCCCTGCTTGCTGACAGAAGGGATGATGGTTTGGAACAAATTAGAGCCATCTCCAGGCAAATTTTTCATGCAGGAGTTCTTGATTTGAAGGTGCAGGACAACACACGCAGCTCTCTCTCCTGCCCTGTGTAATTCCACCAAAAATCTGTGTTTCCTGGGTTAGCTTGAAAGCATAAGGAGGAAAATATTCCTTAGCATCACTGAATTCATGAGACTTCTCCCTTTTCTAAATCAGTGACTGGGGAGCTGTACCTTCAAAGGTGAGGTGAAATGCATCTCTGGAAGGTGCATCCACACCTCCCAGGTGTATGTCAAGGATTCCTTGAGTCTGGGTGGCTGGATGTCTCCTGGCTTTCACAGCTGAAGGTTTGAGCCTCTCAGGAGACCAAAAGCACTGTATCCAATTTATTCACAGATGGGAGCTTCCTAAAGGCTGGATTTCTCTCTCAGCTGAGCTGCACCTCTAATCCATGTTGGCTGTGAATTTTGTTTGCAGTGAGATAATAGGGAAACTGTTGTGGCTGGGCCTGGCTGTGGAACTGGGGAGGGGGCACTGCTTGGCTGTCACCAGAGCTGGAGAAAGCAGAAATGTCCTCTTAAAATCCAGTGGGAGGAAGCAAAACCTACAGGGTGCAGCTTCAGAGTGATTTCAGCCTTGTCTCTGGTGAGAGCAGGGAATAAATTGTCTATCTCCAAAAATTACTGCCCACAAGCCACTGAGCTTTACACTCCCCTCAGCCAGAAGCATTATTACACCAAAAAGCAGGATTAGACAGAATTGCTAATTTTAGCATTGCACACAGACACCAAAACCCCAGACACCCCCCCTTATCTCTCCAGGAGAAGATTCTGCAGCTCTAGTTCCTGTCAGGGCTCAGTGCTCTGCTGCTGCACCAGGTCAGGGTCACACCAGCCCAGAGCAGCTTTCCAGGGAAAGATCAATAATTCTGGGTCAATCGTCCCTATAAAGTACAAACCCTGCTGATGGTGCAGAGTTCAGAGCTGTGCTGAGCAGGGCACCCCACAGGCTTCATACACAATTTGAATTTAATTCTTTTGCTCTGGGGGTAGTAGCTGGAGATGTCAATAAGGTCTCAGCTGCTCTTGCTGAGTCCTGAGCAGGACTGGGACCTGATTCCAGTGCCAAAATGAACACAGTGCCCTGGGGGAAAGCTCTGCCTCTGATGCTGTCAGATGTTCCTGTGTATTTCAGTCTTTCCCAAAATAAAAAGGTTGTGATTTTTCTTCCCACTTATCCCTGAAATAGTTGGAGAGCCCTGACGCAGGAGGGAAGGGTCAGTGCCCAATGGCAGCTTGCAGGTCTGTGCCTCTCCCTGCAGCAGAGCTGGGGCTGTGCTGGGAGAGGAGCAGGAGCAGGGCTCTGCTTCAGCTGGAAAGCTGATCTCCACAGAGGGTGACCTTGTGGCCTGGGAGCCCAGGAAGCTGGATCCTGATGGAATTGATTGATGGGATCTGAGGAGTCCTTCTCTCTCAGCAGCTGACTGCAACCTCTGCTGACTGCAAATGAAGGCACAGGAACCTGATTACATCCACTACAGGGCAGCAATCGATGTCAGATGGAAGGTGCAGTTGGAAAAGCCTCTGTGGAGTGTGGGCAGAGGGGGCCTGGCCAGGGCAGCACTGAGCCAGCAGCTCAGGCCCCTCAGACACTCCTGCTTTGTCTTTGTTCCTTCATTAGTGCTCAGGAAGGGGACAGAATGCATCTCCATGGGAATCTGCTGGACAAAGAAACCCTGCCAAGAGCTGCCAGCACTGAGTTCTGTCTGGCCAAGCAGCCCCTGTAGATCAAAATGGGCCAGAGCAGGGCAGGGATCTGGAGCACGATGGCTCCACAGTTAAAGCCCATGGTGCAGAGACAAGAGCACGTGGAAGCACTCAGAAACCATGTCACAACTGCCAGGGAATCCTGAGCAGGCCTTTCTGTGCCTTTCTGTGCCTTGGCACAATGGGAACCTCCAGGCTGGTGCACATTCAGCCCTGGGGCAGGTGAGGGGAGGTTGGGAGAGCTGAGCAGTGATCAGGAGCTGCAGCTCAGCTCTGAGCACTGCATTGGTTTGTGCTTGAGTGCCCCATTCCCTTGCACCTGAATGCCCAGCACCCAAACAGGGTCTGGGTGAGGGCCTGGTAGCAGTGTCTAGCAAAATGGGAATTTTCTGGAGAAGTTTTTCTAAAGGAGCTGCTGTCCTGGGGACCCTGACTGAGTTGGGGGCCCAGAGAGGCACCGTGGTGCTGTCCCCATGGCTCCCCTCTGGTCTCACCAGGGCTCAGGGTTGGGAGGATGTGCCAGCACAGCCCCAGCACATTGCCTCAGCCTCGCTGTGCCCAGTGAGCCAAGAGATCCCGGGCAGAAAAGGGGTTTTTGCTGGTACTCTCCCACCTGCCACCTTCTGGAGGTTTCCAGGGTGGGGACAGTGAAGCACCCTTTACACCTGCTGTGCTTGAACGGGGCCATTCCATCCTGTCCCATGGCTCAAGGAGTGACAGTGGCTCTGCCAGGTGGGGCCAGAGCTGCCTACAGGGACCCAAGTGACAAATCACCAGTGACATTGCTGAGGGGAGCACGCACAGGCAGTGATGGGGTTGTAATGAATTAAGTGCTGTTCAAATTGATGCAGGACTGCTGTAAGGAATGTGTGTATGTGTGTTGTGAGGAGTAGGACACAGGTGTGATGAATATTGTCCATCAGCTGTGATAAAAAGCCCATCATCCCAATACATATTTTCAAAAATGAATTTAAGGCTGAAAGAGATTATTAAAAATGAGGAGAGGAAATTGTCTGGGATATATTTAGAGTCCCTTGCTAGGTAAGATAAATTCCAGAAGTCAAAATACTGCCTGTGGGGTGAAAGGGATCGATGCTGATATTGTGGTGGCTCATGATAAGAAGATAGGGCTGAGGCAATTCTCCTGCCAAGGGAGAGTGTGTGGGAAGGGGAGCCCTTGCCTGGCACTGCTGTGCTAGGGACTGCTGTGCTGGGCTCCAGGAGGGACACACAGTGCAGGGACAGTCCTGGAGCCATCAGCCCAGGGTGCAGCTGGGGGTCTCTGCCCCCAGCCTGGGGTCTGGCTGGGCCCTTCCCACCTCGGTTTCCTGCCTGAGCCTGTGGACACTTTGCAGCTGGGTGGTGGGGACACAGGCTGGTGAAGGATCTGGGACCCCACGGGGAAGAAAGCTCCTGCAGAAGGAGGATTATGAGCAGTCAAGCCTGCAGATGCTCCCGAGAGAAGCCCCCAGCACTGGGGCTGGGTGGGCTCAGGCTGTGTCCCTCTGCATTTCATTCCCTGGCACTAAGAGGACACGTCCCTGTGACCAGGAGCTGTGCCAGCGTGGGTCTGAGGAGATGAGCGCAGCCAGCCTGCAACCTGCCATGCCCTGGACATCTGGAGAGCTGGGTTTGATCTTGGCTGTTTCCTCACGCTTTCATTTATCTCTCTCTGCTGTTCTGGATGACAAGATCATTAGAAACCCAGTTGCTGTTGCTGAGCTCTTCCTCCCGAGCTGTGTGTAAGCGTGGACGATGCCTGAAAGACAAGAGGTTTAATTGTATTCTGCCTGCAGCTACAGGATGTCAGCCAGGCAAATTTAAAGCCAGGCTGCACGGGGGTGGGAGATACACCTCCATTACTCACCAGCCTGGATGAGGTTTAGCTTTATTGTATCCTGAAATAGGCAGAGCCTGGGAGGTGCTGATTGAAGCCATTTGAAAACATGACAACATCCTCGGGACAAGAGGTGTCTAATCTAA